ACACACACACACACACACACACACATATGCCTCATAAATTACACTGACATAGGAACTGGTGTTGTCAGCGCTATGTTACAGAGGCTGGAGTAGGTAAGCCAACGAGAGAGCTTAGAGCGGCTACATTAGAGAGCTTTAAGCAGCACAGCTGCATTACCTCTTGGTGCATTGATGCAGCTGCGCTGCTGTAAACTCTCCTGTGTAGCCATGCCCTTAGTGTCGAGCAAAGTTATGAATTTAAGCTTCCCAGGCTCCTCTTTTGAAAGTGTTGGGTAGGTTCCCTTTGAGGATGAGGACTGATAGGTCACACATAGAGTGATCGCTTTGATGGAACCAGCTACCCGTGACTCTCACCAGGTCTTCCCACTGTGGAGGGGACTTTGTGGGGAAGGCAATGCAGTCTAGGGCCTATCAGCATACTATGAAGCAGACCATGGAGTAAGGGTGATGTTTTCTTTCAGTACATGGAAGACCACTCTCATTAAAAAAATGGAGAATGGTCTTGCAGGGTAGAGTTGTACCAAGGGGCCCTAACCCTAACCCCCCACCCTCCACTACTTTCCCCTCTCTAAAATTAGGCTGGTGGTGAGACAACCACATGCACAGTACTTGGCAATCTTGCTTTCCTTCTTATAATCCATGTCAGTCAAGAGAATCATTTAAAAACATCCTAAAATGGGGAGAGACTGGATACTGGAGTTTGTTCTTCTCAGCATGCTGCCCAAATAATATAAAGGTAACCCTTCCCCACCTTATTGGTAGTTTTGTCTGTTAGTTTGCACAGAGCTCCAGTGATTCACATTAATTGATGAACCACTGTGCAAAAGGCTTAAGAATTACATCTCCATTAGTACCCTTTGATCTCCTCTAGCCAATGGTGTCAAATAGTTAATCTTGGTGCTAAAGAGAGACCATGAAACACACTGTGCAAAGATTTTCCCATGCAGTTTAAACTGAATTACTCCTGACCAGGCAGGCACCAAGTTTATAATCTGCAAGGGAGTGCTCCCCCTGGCTCTGCCCAGACCTCACCCCTACTCCACCCCTTCCCCTAATGCCCCATCCCACCCCGCTTCTTCCCACCCACACTTCACATCCGCCTTGC